GTAAGTAAGAATGAGAGTAAGAATGAAAATGAGAGAGAGAGAGAGAGAGACTTTGACTTTGACAAGTTTATGGAGACAAAAGGTTTACATCTCAAAAGGATGTGGTAACATAGGTTATCCTCACCCTTGTCTTGATAAGTCCCTGTATGGGCTCAGTTCTCATACAAAAAATAGGTGTATTATCAGATAAAAACATAAAATACAAAAATACAAATATTCAAAGTTAATGGTCTATAAAAGAGAAAGTTTGTACGCACACTCACAGATGGGCTGTGAGGTACTGTTGGAGAGAGAGAGAGAGTGAGAATGTGTGTGTGTGTGTGTGTGTGTCTATGCTATGTTGTGTCTGTGTGTGCAAGTTCCAGATGTTGATCTAAGTGAATTCTAGGGGCACATGACTTTGACGTAATTTTATACCGTAAAAGGAAATAAATTATTCATTAGGTACTTCTGGCCACTGAGCAATGTACATTGGTGCATGTACAGGATTGTAACAGTCCATTGTGTCTATGTTTCTAGTTATTTCCCCACCAAACTCTGGCACAATGTAGGACAGGGTTGCCAAATAATCCTCTTGTTTTTCTTTCTTTTTCTCTGTGAAAAAAAATATACATTTGACTAGAAATTCAGGATGACATCATGTGTATATATCCCCCCCCACCACCCACACACACTTACCTTATAGGTTTAAGAATTGTTATTATGAAACTTTTATACCCATTATTGAATGGCAGTTCATTTCCTTGGTGGATCACCACAGATACAAATCTTTTTTCTTTTGTCCCTATGTTAGACACTTTATTAATTGCATTTTATTTCTGTAATTTTTATCTACTAATTTTGGTTTTCTTGTCTTTTTACAGCAATTGGACCTTGTGTCTCCATTCCAGCTCTATTTCAATCCACTTCTCATTATCAAACACTATCAGGTAAGTCCCCATTTTTAAAGATATTTTTATGGAGTTGCATAATTAACCCTTAGGCCCGTATGCCATGTCCAATGTAATTTAAGTTTATTTATTGTGCTTAGTGCAAAAGGAGTCAAGTATTAGTTATGCCTGTCTCCCCCTTTTATCCTCTCCCTTTTTTTTAGAAAGATTTCTTTATTTTGTTATATTGTCATAAGGATTTTGATGATGTCATAGTAATCATAATATCAGTAATTATATTAGCAGTATCAATATTGATAGCATTAAAAAAATAGAAAAAAAGAAGGCACAAATTCAAGAAATGGGAACAGCAGGTGCAGTGAGAAGAGTCTGCCTGCTGGCCTAGCTCTTGTGGAGCCATCTTTGTGCAGTGGGCAGTACATGCAACCCATGTCTTTGAATGATTGGGAAAAGCAGGAGTTACAATGATGTAGTTGTCAGTCAATAGAACTTTGGCTTTCAGTCAGCTTGCCAACCAAAGTGAAATGAAAATAGATAAATAAGAATTCTTGGAGAAAGGCAATAGAATGGCTAATAACATTTACCTTTTTTTTTTTCAGATTTGGAGACTTGTAACCACTTTCCTATTCTTTGGGTATGTAGGTTTCAACTTTCTGTTTAACATGATTTTCACATACCGCTACTGCAGGATGCTTGAAGAAGGCTCCTTTAGAGGCCGCACAGCCGACTTTGTCATCATGATGGTAAGGAATTATAACTTTTGTATATAGAAAAATTAATGAATAAATAAAATAAAAAGATAATGATATGATACAGATAGATAAGGGAGGGGCAGATGTTAGCTCATGTTGCAAGTACATTCTGGAAAGTCCCCCCTAAAGAAAAAAAATAGTTTTCTTTATTAGGTTTGCTATAGGTTTCATTTTTTATAGAGAACATTACTATTTGTTGAAGAATTTTCTTTAGTGCCTTACAAACTACTTTCTCCAGATTATGTAATTGACTCTAGCAAAATTCACCCACTATTTTAAGAATTTTAGATAATCTTTAGTAATATTTACATTTTATTGATCGGATGCCTTCACACAGCTGTTTGGCGGAGCGTGTATGTTGTGCTGCTCCATGTTTTGCTCCCTGCCCTTCCTTGGCCAGGCCTTCACAATTATGCTGGTGTATGTTTGGGCTCGGAGAAACCCCTTTGTCCGGATGAACTTCTTTGGCCTTCTCAACTTCCAGGTAGGATAAGGATATTCAAAATATGTATACGAGAGCTTTAAGACCAATTAGCAAAATATAATTGGTAGTTTTAATCCTCTAATCATTTGTTCCATTGTAATTTTAGTTTATTGTGTTTACATGGAGATGGCTATACAAGTACCAAGTCACCAAGGAGTCAGTTAGTAGACCAGTATCTCACTTCTTTACACTTTTATCTGATTCTCGGAAAAATTCTCTTTGATCTTTTATCATTAGTATTATTTCAGTGACATCATAATTAATGTTGTGGTGTCGGAGCGTTAGGCTGAGTATTTTGAGCAGTTGTACCAGGTTGACCCAGCAACAGTTAACATAAGGGTAGCACTGAGATTCTGTTGCCAGACCTACCCATTAGTAAGGATCCACCCTCCCTAACAGAAGTTAGGGGGGCAATCTCCAAGCTGAGGAGTGGTAAAGTAGCGGGTATCTGCAGCATCCCAGCTGAACTGTTAACCCATTAATGTCGGTATATTTTGAAGTTGAAAATAAAAGATTCCGGGCGGCTACAAAATTGGTACGTGGGGCTGGCCTGGACTCTGCCTGCACGCCCGCTGTGGCCCGTTGCTGCATCTGAGCATGAGCCCCAATACAGCGTCACACTGGCAGGACGCCCGGCAATGTTTATTTTTTCGGGTGTATCATATGTGGGACAGTCGTCGTTAGTGGGTTAAAGTCTGGTGGTGAACCTATGGTGTGGGGGTTGCATGCTGTCCTGGCTGCCATCTAGCAGTCAGTCCCCCCTGACCTGTTGAGGGGTGTGGTCATCCCTCTCTGGAAGGGGAAGGGGGACTGATGGGACTCCAGCAATCACTGAGGCATCACACTGCTCAGTATACCAGCAGCAGGGTAGGTTGTCGCCCACATCATTCTGAGATATATCAGAGACCACCTACTGAGGCATAGAGGCCGGAGCATCTGGATTCACTCCTGGTAAGCCAAATAGACTGTATCTTTGTGGTTCAATTCCTTGTAGAGCGCTGTCATGAGTTTGGGTGTGGGCTGTTCGCATCTTACTTCGACCTCAAGAAGGCATTCGATACGGTGCATCAGGAATCACTCTGGGAGATCCTGAAACTGAGAGGAATTCCAACAATAATTATTAGACTAATAGCAAGTCTGTTTACGAGTACTGGTGAGGTAAAGTGTGGTGGGGACCTGTCGAGCTTCTTTCCTGTCAGTTCAGGAGTGAGGCAAGGCTGTGTCCTTGCAGCAACTCTTTTCAACAATTGCATGGACTGGATTCTGGGCAGAGCTACTGGTCAAAGTCATTATGGAGCAACTCTGTGCAATATCAAGGCTAATGACCTTGAATTTGCAGATGATGTTGTTATTCTAACTGAGTCTTTGTAAACCTTGGTGGTGGCTCTGGATGCATTAAGTAATGAAGCGAAGCCCTTGGGTCTAGAGGTCTCCTGGACCAACACCAAGATCCAGGACTTTGGAGACTTGCTTGGAGAACCTGTTCAGTTGGTACGTGCTTGCAGCGAGGACATTGAAGTCACGGAGAGCTTTACATACTTTGGTAGTGTAGTTCATAACTCTGGGCTGTCAGACCAGGAAATCAGCAGACGGATTGTCCTGGCAGCAGGGGTCATGAACTCTCTTGACAAGAGTATTTGGAGATGCTAGTACCTGTGCAGAAGGACCAAGTTACACATTTCCAACACCCTAATAAGGCCAGTTTTGCTGTACGGTAGTGAAACCTGGACATTATCCTGTGCCTTTGACTCTCGTCTTGATGCCTTTAATAATAAGTCCTTGCGCCGGATCATGGGGTACTGTTGGGGGGGACCGCATATCAAACCACGGTTACACTGAGAGACAGGCACAGGACATTAAGAACAGGAGAGGAAAACTTATCACCTTAACAAAATGCAATTCTTGCATCTTATGGCAGAAATGGTGTTTTTTCACCTATTAGTGAATGAGAATTGATTTTATGAATATGGTGTAAAACTCGTAGTCTCAGCAAAACACACTTCAAACCTAGTTATCACAGTACTTGATTTTGGCGAGTTCACCTCTCCCATTCTCAATATCTCATATAACATTATCAACATTCTCAGCTTTACCTATAAACTATATTTACCTACAAACTAGAGGAATGGAGAAATACGTGTGGTCAATAGGGCTACTAATTGACTCTTAGGTGGTTGAGCACCTGGGGAGCTATCTTTATGTAAAAAATTCACAGAAAATTATAGCGCTTAGTACCTGTGTCAGTGGCTGATGGGTTAAAAGTAAGATTTTTTGTTGATACTAGATTTTATCACAATGATTTTATATTTTTTGCTCTCTTTATTTTTCTTTTTTATATATATATATTTCTATATTTATGAATATAGTTATATATATTTTTTATGTTTTTTTTTTCATCTCTCTCTCTCTCTTTCTCTCTCTCTCTTTCTCTCTCTCACTTTCTCTCTTAAAACAAGCACTAAATTAAAACTTTGAAACAGATTTATGCTTCTTTAATAATATACCCACACTTAACGTAGTATGTCAAACAGTCCAGGGAGCAATGCATAAAATACAACCTCTCAAATCCTTGTGTTGTAGCACAAAAATGAAAGTTTCTGTACAAATTTTAGGACTAAAGAAATATTTGATCGTACCCACAAAAGGATTACTAGATCTTAAACTTTGAAACTCGGTGAAATAAATGTATATTATTGTTGTTTACATATTTTTAAATGTCTTAATGCCATAGGAATTACAATGTTTAGTTTTAGGATAAATCAGAGGTATTTTATGATACTCAATAATCTACTGAATGTTCCATTTGTTCAGTCTCAACAATTTCGTTCAAGCATTGTTTATCCTGGTGTGGTATTGTGGAATAATTTATTTGAA